CCAAAAAAAAAAAAAAAAAGACAAGAAAACTATTGAAGGGGTGGGCAAATTTTGGAGGCGTAAACTAATTTCAGGTTGCTCTAATGTAGCTGAAAAATTTTGTGATATTTTTTCCATTTATTCCTAAAAGTAATGTTATTTTTTCTCTTTCTCTGTTCCCTTTGTTGATCACTCCAGTTGGGAAAATCTTCTCTTTCCTGTTTTTGGTCATTCCAATCCTTTGGTACACCTTTATCTGTGTTCTAAACATCCATAGATCATAGTAAGTTATTGCTTCTATTGCCTTCGTTGTTTCTACTGAGAAATTCCGTGGATTCAAGTAAAATATCCTTCATATTTTTATCTATGTGCTTAAAATATATCCACATGTCTTAGTAAATTCTCACTTCTCTCGCCTTTATTAAACTTTTTGTACAGAGATATTCCATAGATTAAAATAAAATATTCATCTTCATAAAGTAGGGTTGTTTCAGAAGTGTCTGCTGTCGCCATCTTTTGTGCATCTCAAAAGCTAATGATTGGAGATATGAATTCTTTATGGTTTGAGAAGCAACTCTGTACCTTAAAGGAACTGACTGACCAAATCATCAAGCAATCTTCTTCATGCTAACTGAATTAAGTCTCATTCATTTGTGCCCATGGAATCAACTGTTCATATAATTCTTCTTTTCAAACAGCGAGTCAGTGACATGCGGATTATTTTGTCTTGATCTTTAGGTAATCCTTATTACTTTTCTCCTTATCAGTTGTGTGACAAGTAGAACAGTGAACCGAGGAGTCTTTGCTTGAGTTTTTGATTTAGAATCATAAATTTAATTTTTTATTTGATTGATAAAATTTTGCTCAGGTCCATATCATTTGCTCTTAAAAAGGGTACTTGCAGTACACACTAAAGCTATTAGAAGCTGCTTATCAGCAGGGAAACCATAAAAAAAGGGAGAGAACCCATCAGAAGCCTTTGATGACTAATTGACTGAGCTTCACTGCCTGTATGTCTCTCTCTCTCTCTCTCTCTCTCCCTCCCCAAACCCTTCATTCCTCTGTCTTTTTTCACCCTCTTCTTCTCACTGCAAACCCTTCAAGGTGAGTCATTATCCAATACCTCTCTATTTCTTCTGGTTTACGCCCTGGAATTCTGCCTGCTATCAGATCCCACCTGAAATGGAAAGCCATTTTCTTAGAAACTTTGATACTACAGGTAATTGGAAAGCAGTCAAGTAAGAAAAAGAGTAGAATCTATCTCCATTATTGCTTAGAAATGTGGGAGAATTCTGTAAATCTGGGTTTTGCTTTGAACACAACTTACCTATCTCCAATCAGCTTATGCATTCTATGGATGAGATCTTCCTCCTGTGCTGTCATCGTTATAAACTGCCACCTAGTGCTGCTGACTTCTGTTAGATAACAGGCCACAAATTTAAAAAATGGTGAGAAAATCATGAAGAAGAGACCAACTTCATGATGAGTAATTGGAGAGAGAAAAAATAGAACATCAAGTAGATGAAAGGAACCTTCAGACTCTAGTGGAGTTGTTTTAGCTTGTTGCTGGTTACGATGGTTGTCCATGTTTCCCCCAAAGATTAGAGGCAGCACAAAAACAGGAAGATAGAGAACTGGGAATGAAAAGAATTTTAGGAAAAACTATGATAGAGAGATCTGAAATTTCCACAGGAAAATTTAAGTTTATGTGAATGCTTCCTATATTTTCTTCTGCCCACCAAACTTTGGGGAGTAAGTTTGTTGGTTTGACTTGTTGGGTTGGTAGACTTGTAGTTGACAACTTACAGAAGGGATTAAAATATTGAAATCTTAGAGAGAGAAAGAGAAAGAGAGGGGAAGGCCAAGGTCATGTAGTGTAGTTTCATTCTTTTAGGATTAAGAGGACACCAACTAAACTTGAAATGGGTACCTAAAACTCTTTGATATGTCACTGTGATTGTTTTAGGCAGAGCAGAGCGTTGTAATCTTCACCCAAAATACAACATTCAACTGGTAGTTGGGGACTTGGGGAAGTGGTCTAGTGTGTCTGTGTTCAATTCAGCTAACCTTCTTCCCCAACTGGACACACAAATTCAGATACACAGAGAGGGAGATATGACACATCTTATCCTGAAGTTCTGCTCAGTATTCCAATTGCAGCAGCCTCCCTCAGGAAGGACATGCAAATGAATACAAAATTATTTTGTCTGTTCAGAAATGTGTATATTCATCCCTTTCTTCCCATGCTTCCCAAGCTTTCTTCTCACCCACACACCATGAGAAGGATGGGTAATAATAGGAAGAGGATTATGCAGTGAGCGAGGCAAGGCAGAGGCAGAGGCAGAGGCAGGCAGAATAATGTCAAAATCATCAATGGTACTGCACAAGCTTCAAATCAACAAGAAGACAAGTTTTGTAGGCCTTTTCACCCAATTTAAACTTCACCCATCTTCTCTCTCTACCTGCACTTGCAGGCTTAGCTTCAACTATTTACATCCATTTTACTACACATTATCTCCATGATTATCTCTCCATTTCCTTTTTTAAGCTTTTGTTGGTTTTTGGATGCATTCATATCATTATGCAACAACACCATTGGATAAGGCTCCATTATATGCTCCACTAATTTTTCAAGATTATGGAAATGGTTGATTTGTTTCACTCATTGAGATAATAAGTTAAAAGGTTGCACTATTGATGAATAGTTGATCTTGTATGTTGTTGATGAGTATTCATCTTATCACATCACCATAAGTAACTTGGTGGTATCCTTAATAGTTTTTAGATATACTAACTGTGAGTATTTCAATGTTTAGTTGTTTTTTATTTGTGTTATGAATAGTTTGACTCTACATAGATAAATGTACAAACTTTTATAAATTGTTGAGTGACTTGATTTGTTTATCTTTATGTTAGTACAGATAATAAGTTAAAAGATTGTGCTATTGATGAATAGTTAGCCCTGCACGTTGCTATTTCTCATCTTATCACATCACTATGAGTAATATGATGGTATCCCTAAAGTTAAAGGCTTTTAGATATAATGATGGTTTGGCGTTTAGTTCTTTTTTGTTCTTGTTAGGTTTGATGAATAGTTGACCCAAATGTGTACTCATCTTATCGCATTGTTACGAGTTATACAGTGGTATCCCTAAAGGTTTTTAGATATACCAATGGTAAGTATTTGAAAATTTAGTTCTTTTCGGTTCGTGTTAGGTTTGATGAATAGTTGACTCTACATGTTACTAATGAGTACTCATCTTATCACTTTTGATAAGTATTTTTGTGTTTAGTTTTTTTTTTGTTCGTGTTAGATTTGATGAATGTTGACTTTGCATGTTACTAATGAGTACTCATCTTATCACATCGCTACAAGTCACACGGTGGTTTTCCCAAAGGTTTTTAGATATATTGATGGTTAGTATTTCAGTGTTCGAGTTCTTTTCAGTTCGTGTTAGGCTTGTACTTTAGAAAGAGAATCTCGACCCTAATCAGTTATCCCTAATTAACAAGAAGAAATTAAAATGTAAATGTAAATTAATAAATAAGTAAATAAAAATTTAAATGCATTCAAGCTAGGTTTCCACGTAGAGGAAATCTTTCCAATCAAAACCATATAAAAAGAGGAAAAAATATATATTTATTTAAATGAAAATATTTAAAAATTGTTTTAGAAAAGAGTGACTACTGACTCATATTTGTTTAAGTAATGAATGTAATGGTGCTTTTATTTAGAATTAATCTATTTCCCATTGTTTTTGAAGACTTTTATAGTGATTATAAAATAATTTAAATAAAATAGCTTTTCAATATTCTTAATTTTTTATTTATTTATTGCTTCTATTTTCTTCTATTTTTCTGTATTTAAATTGTATTTTTCTCTATATGTTTTTTATAGCAATAATTATTATTATTATTATTATTATTTTATCAAATAATTTAAGTAAAAACAATTAAATTTAATTTAAGTCCTATAAAATTAAATTTAAAATCCATTTTTTAAAAAAATGAAATTAATTAACATAATATTATGTATAATTTAATTATTACGTTTATTCTCTAAAGTCTAAATTGAAATGGAATTTGTGAAATGTTATTATAATAATTATGATTAAAAAAATATTTGATAAGAATTAATTTAGTTAATAAATGATGTGGATATATTTGGTTAATAAATTTGTTTTATAGGGAAATTGGAATCGTGCAAGAAATAAGTAATTTTTTTAATATGAAATTTGATTAAAAAGGAAATTGGAGTTGTGGTGGAAGAAGCAATTGCAATATTATTCAATGTAGACAACAACTTTGCAATTAGGTTTGATGTTCCATTATTGAAATAATTACATTCAAACAATGAGATTAGAAGACCTAATTATGCAACTAATTACAATTATGAGATTAAATTTAATTTTATTTGATTATTTGAAATTCTTCGTTTAAGTTAAATCAATTTTATTTTATAAGTTTAGTCTTCATCGCAGATAGGTTTTATGGATTTAAGTTGTTAGGTTTTATCGTCTTATCTTTACCCTTAGTTTTCCTCGTTCGTCTTCTTTTCTATCTTTGCTCGCATTTCTAATGTTGCTCGACCCGTGCATTTGCCACCTTCATTTCCCTTGTGCCTGAACGTCATTCTCCATCATTCTTCTTCATTGGTGTTGTAGATCGGATTGCACCGTTGATCATCTAAACGCTTGTTATTGATCATCAAATGAATGAGCTAGTAGTCCCTCTCGCTCTCCTTCTTCTTCCCTCTCTTTGTTATGACTAGCTAGCATGGAGCGTATAAGAAAAATGTTAGGGCAAGGTCGTATAGGTGTGTGATGAGAATGATCATTGACTACGTCATGGAGTTTATGTTATCATGCTTTTTTAAAAAAATACCAAGCAGAGTTCACTTATTCAACTGTGTTCGATTATTCCGCATACATTGTCGATTGCAATCAGACTAAATCTAAAAAGATTGAATCATACCAACTTTTTTTCAATTCTATCCATGGTTGATATTCGAGATGTCAATTTAATTCGTGGGTCGATAACCCACTTCTAACGGAGTGAAAAATCTCCATTCAAACGAAGAACGGGAGAGCGAGCAAAGATAGATTTCTCTCTTCTAGTTAAATGAGAGCACGCCCTTTTGTATGCATGGCTGGATAGTGGGAAAAAAAATATAGCAATACCACTGGCTAATGACATATATGCCACTACTCTCATATATAATACATAGTTTAATACAACTTCAATTTTCATCCACATATTAAAGTTTGTCTTTAATATGCTTTAATTTAAATCCCTCACAACTTCTCTATTTAAAGTGTCATTGCAAAACAAGTTAGTTAGCTCTCTTCATTCCAATTTCTCTTTAATTTCTTCTTCTCAAGACATAATTACCTTAAAAAACATCATGGGATCTCATCATAGCATTCGAATGATTGTTGGAATCTTTGGTATGCTTTGTTTTTTTATGAATTTCTTTGAACATTTCTGTTCAAAATGACCATTTTTTTTCTCTGTGTTTCTTCTCTATGCAGGAAATGGTGCATCTTTGCTGCTTTATTGTGTTCCCATGTAATGAAATCTGCCAACTTTGTTCTTGTTGTTTGGAGACAAAAAATGGTTTAAATCTTATCTAACTTGAACGTTTTCGTGCCTAAAACTCGATAAAAAAAGACACCATTTTAGACGTTTTTGCTATTGGATTTGATATCAACTTGAAGTGGACAAGCATTTGAAGGCATGCCCACATAGCTAATTAATAAGTTGGGTGTGTTTATGCAGATTGACATTTTGGAGGGTTGTAAAGAAGAAAAGCACAGAGGAGTTTTCATGTGTTCCATACATTGTGGCGCTGTTGAATTGTCTTCTTTATACTTGGTATGCTTTACCAGTTGTGAGCAATGGATGGGAGAACTTCCCTGTTGTCACCATTAATGGCTTTGGTGTTCTTCTTGAGTTCTCTTTCATTTTCATCTACTTCTGGTTTTCCTCTCCGAAACGGAAGGCAAGTTTTTGTATACGATCCCGTTTGATAAACATTTTGTGTTATAATTTCTTGTTTTCTTTTCGAACATGAATTTGTTCATTAGTTCGTTTGTTTTAAAAACAGTAATTTAATAGAGGAAGTCGCCTCTACTACTGCAAATTTCTATGAAATTTGGTAGAAGGGTTTCAAGTTTTACTATTTTAAACGATAATTTCTCTTCAAATTTTCTCAAATTCGCTAAGTAACATCATATAAATTTAATACTCGAGGTAAAAACAAATGACCTTAGTGAAACAATGAATACGTTTAAGCTCAAAATTTATAAGAATTATTAATATGGTTTCTTTTAGGCTTAAAAAAGTTCTAAAATTATCTGCAGAAGCAGGTGACTTTGAGATTGGTGGGAGTTGTTACAGTGTTCAGCTGTGTGGGGATGATCTCTACTTTTGCTTTGAAAAGTCACCATCTTCGGAAGCTTTTTGTGGGATGCATTGGTCTTGTTGCTTCCGTTGCCATGTATGGCTCTCCATTGGTAGCTATGGTAAGCTCGCGCCAAAACCCTTTAGTCAAAACTTGCTCCGACATTCTTGTTTCGTGTTTCTTGTTTTCACTTTTGCTCGGATGTTATCAAACGACAACCTAATTTCATCACAACAGCTGATACCTACAAAAGAGACAATGTTTGTGTTTGTCACTAAAAGTTTATTTGTCATGCAGAAACAAGTAATAAAAACAAAGAGTGTTGAATATATGCCATTTTATTTGTCATTCTTCTCCTTCTCTGCAAGCTCTTTGTGGTTAGCTTATGGACTCCTCAGCCATGACCTCTTCCTTGCAGTCAGTATTACCAAATCTCTCCTTTTTTTTTTTTTTCTTTTTCCATATGAACTTGAAAGTAAATTAACTCATGAAACTTTGAATGGATTTGCAGTCTCCAAATCTAGTGGGAAGCCCATTAGGGTTGCTACAGCTTGTGTTGTATTGCATCTATAGGAATAAGGGAAAAGAAGAAGAAGAAGGATGTGTTAAAGAGGCTGTGGCCAATTGGGACATGGAAAAGAATAATGCAAAACAAATTCCACACCAAAATGGCTCTCAAGTTTAGTGATCTCTCACTCTATCTCTCTTACATAAATGCTTCTTCTAGAAGCCAAAGGTCTCTCCGCTCTCTGGAAGCCAAAAAATCCTTCTGGGTTTACACACTGAATGTTTATTTTCATATTTCAATATAGTTTTGTTGAACTCAATACAACGAGAGTGAAGATTTGAACCTCAAGCCTTTTGAGTACAGATATGTCAAGTGATACGAAGCACAAGATTTTATCCTAATATTACATTATAGGTACTATAGTGGAGATTCAGATCTATGAATACTTAGAAGAGATAGAAATGCACAAGTACTAAGCTATTACTGTGCTATACTTGAATTTGAAGTAAAATATATTTTCTCTATAGATTCTTTGCAAGAAGCACTAATCAAGAGTATGGATTTTTTTTTTTTTTTTTGTTCTACATGGGGAGGTTTGATTCATTCTGAATTCTTTAATTCGGAATAAAAGGTTTCGCTGTGACCGTAAAGAGTAGGTAACCCATTACCTGTGTCTTTGTTTCTATTGCATAAATGTCTGGCTAACGTGGTAACAAGACTAAGGAAGATGCCTAGCTAGTTTTGAACTAGAGCAGGGAAGTGAAGCCCAAAGAGCACGTTGCTACACGATTAGCATGGAGAGAAAAGCGGCAGTCCTTCCATGTTAGTTTTGAAACTAAATTCAAATACTAGAGACCCAAAAATGTATTCTGCCCTTAATTAATTTAGGTATTGAATAGACCTTGGCACTTCCCCACGGCTATTCAACTGTTTTATGTGGTTGATTTGAAGTATCAACTAAAGTGTTTTTGTTGAAATATCACTGTGAATTGTCATCTCCGAGACTAACTGGCAGACCCACTCCTACGGATTTTAAGGACACTCCTAGAATGTTTGGAGGTCCTTCTGATTGGGTTTAGAATTTCCTTATCTCACAAGTGAGATTGGTTGTCTTGTTGCAACGCTTTATTGATTTCCCTCCAATAACTTTTTCATTATTAATGTATGCTATTACTTATAAATAAGGAGAAGAATATTACTAAAAGAAATCGAAATAGAGTAGCAGAAACGTCAACAGAATCATACCTTTAAGTAAAACAAAGCATACTTCCCTTGATTTTGGCCCACAGAAGAATCCCAATGAACACTGTAAAAGTTGAAGGTCAGACGCTAAAAAATAAAGAATCTAAGAGTGGGAAAAAAGTAAAGTAGAAAGCCCATAATAAAGAAAAGGTTACTAAAGGTTATCGAACGTCTCTGAGAATCAGTGACTTTTCAAAAACAAGCAAAATTTGAAACAATAATCATTCAGATTTCAGCAGCAAGACGCAAAATTAGACTTCCAAAGAACATTAAGACCAACAGAAGTTCCCATGATACTATACAAAAGAAATCACAGATCAACAAGATTTTTGGAAGTCCTGTTTCTAACATATTTCAGAACGTAAATGCAAAATAGAGCAGAAAAATAGTGATGGGAGGGCACTCATCATCCTCATATCACGACTGAGAAGAAACAACAACTTAAAAGAAAAATGAAAAGAAGAATTGTCCAAACAAAAGAAAGAACATAAATGCTTATAAAAAGTAAGGGAAAGGAAGGAGACTGACCAAATTTACCCTGCCATCACTGTCTCATAATGTCCAGGAAGTTAACGTCGACAAGCTTTTAAAGTTGATGTGTTACGAACAGTGGCTGCCTGGATGAAGATAATAGTTGAACGAGCAGTCGGAGAGACAAGAGAAAGCATCCAACTTGGAAACTGAAGCCTTAGAGAGGAGAAGTCATAATGATTTTGGAGTGTGAATTGAAAGACCAAGTTTTGGTTAGTTTCAACAACATCTTCCAATTTAAAAATAATAACTAAAGAAAAGAAAAGAAGAGGAAGAAGCTGCAAAAATAATTTCAGTCATTTTCAGGATGAATAAATATAGGACAGAAAAACATACATCCTCTGAAATTTGTTAGTACAATTCATGGAGCACTCCAAAAAGGGAAACCAGTCAGGACCTCACCTTCACTTTCACTTAGGAGAACTGTTTTCAAGGTGAATAAACATAAGGGTTGAACACGTTCTGGAGGTGAATGAACGTGGGATATATGGCCATAGATGACAAAAATATATATCTATAGCGAGCTAGTCAAAGGAAGTGGTGTATTGGATTTGGAAAAGAAACCTCCGAAACTGATCTGGGAACATGGTCAAATTGAACTATAGAGTTTACATGTGCTAATATGTGCTCCAACGTTGCATAAATAGCATTACAGTTAGGATGGGACCTATCTCCTACAGAGAAAACATGAATTCTATTATTTACATCGATCCAACTACAACCACGATCCTTTTTCACTTTTAAGCTCCTCAATCGCCTCCTCACATGGATCTTCTCTACCCACTTCCCTAATATAGCATATATATTAGACAGAATAACATAAGCAGAAATTGCTTTGGGGTCCAAACAAAGCATCTTCTTAGCCACACTCTCGCCCAATTCCAAGTCCATCCAAAACCAACAAGCATTTAGCAGAGCTCCCCAAATAACCCCATCAGCTTCAATTGGCATGTTTCTGATAAGCTCTTCAGCTTCATACAGATGTCCCGACCGACCAAGAAGATCCACCACACATGCGTAGTGTTCTAAAGTTGGAATCACACCATAACATTTTTCCATAGAGTGGAAAATTTTCATTCCTTCATTGACCATACCAGCACGACTACATGCAGAAAGAATCCCCAGAAGTGTAGCTGCATTTGGCACAATTTTGTTCTTTAACATGTTCTCAAAGACTAAGAATGCTTCACCTCCAAGCCCATGCTGCACATATCCATTAATTAGAGCGGTATAAGCTGCTACATTAGGGGAATAAACACTGGCGAACGAGATTTTAGCATCATAGACACTCCCACATTTTGAGTACATATCTATGAGAGATGTTCCGACATAAACATTAGAGTCAAAGGCTGTCTTGATTGCATGGCCATGGAGTGATCGACCCAATAGAATAGTTCCTAGGCATGTGCATGCTTGAAGCAGAACAGAGAATGTTGATCTAGAACGCTCAACTGATGTTTTGCACATGGTTTGATAGAGTCTCAAAGCTTCTTCATGCTGATGATTTTGAATATAGCCTGATATCATTGAATTCCATGTCACAGGATTTCCCTCACCTTTCGTTGACTCAAATAATTTCATAGCTTTTTCAATTTCACCATTCCTAGAATACACAGTTATCATAGTGTTCGATGAAATTAGAGTTTTATGAGTCATTTTTTCAAATAATTTCTTTGATTCTTCAATCCTACCACTAATTGCATACCCTTTAAGCATCAAATTGTATGAAACTGGATTCTTTTCTCTTAATTTGACAAAAATTTCCTCAGCATCATTGATTCTTCCCACTAATAACAGCCCCTCCAGAAGAGCATTTGAAGCATTTAAACACGGTCTCTCCATACCATCATAAACTGTCTTGGCAATGTCAACAGCTTCACACTGACAGTAAAATAAAATCAGTGCACCACAAATTGAATGATCGAAGTGGAATCCATATTTAGTTAAAATCCCATGAACAACCTTCCCCTGTCTCAAATATCTTAGTCTCCCACAAGCTCTCACAACGCAATCAAAAGTGAACTCATTAGGCTCGACCTCACCATTTGTCAACATGGAGCAGAATAATTCCAATGCCCTTCTGCAGTTGTGCTCACTTCTGGCATACCCTGATATCAAAGTAGTCCACACCACCACATCCCGAGTAGGTATTTTTCTAAACAGATCAAAAGCATCATCCATCAAATTGCATTTCACATACCCTACAAGCATCAAGCTCCATAACAAATCATTCTTATCATGCAACTCATCGAAAACCAGCTTAGCTCCATTAATGTCATTGGTGTTCGCATAGAAATACAACAATGCACTTCCCACAAGCTCAAAAATCTGCAACCCAGATTTCAAAACCAAACAATGATATTGTTTTCCCTCATGTGTACACCCTGAATGTGCACAAATACTCAGCAAAGTAGAAAAAGTCTTCTCATTTAATTTTACATTACTGCAATGCATTCCTGAAGCCAGCTCGAGAGCTTCACTATACTGTCCTACTTTGGAGTATCCAGAAATCATGATATTCCATGAGACAACGCTTCTTATTGGCATTTCATCGAACAGAGTTTGAGCAAGATCAAGATGACCATTTCTTACATGACGACTTATACAAATATTCGTAGAAACAATTTTGGAGTTCTCAGTATGTAAACTTTTACAAGAAGATGGGAATAGCTTCAAGCAAGCTTTCCAACGATTGTGCTTCCATGTTCCGAAAAATGAAAAAACCCTCAACATTCTGAATTGGGGTTGAAACAGCACTTATAATCATAGACTGCGGTAGTGTGCCTGCTTGAATAGGAAAAGGGAAGCAATAGTTAAAGTGAATAAAACATGTATTATTGGACAATTACAAATTAGCAGCAACTGATTTAAGATAGCTTCTCTCACTCATCGATCACTCATGCAGATGAAGGAAGCATTCATCAATATAACTGTATATTACAGATAATAATTGGTTTAATAGACGCAACGTACAAATTAAATAAGCGGGTGAATCAAAACTCAAAACTATGGATTCAGAAATAAGAGTGAAGCAAGTATTACCAGCTATTCTTTTCCACTTTCTTCCATCTCCTAAGGCTTCTGCAGTATTGTTTCAGTTACGAGTGAATGGTCTTTTCCACTCAATTTCAAGCCTCTGCTTCGTAATGTCAATGGCGGACACCAAAAACAAGAACCCTGGGCTATAGATTTACAGGGCTTTCCAAATTTACACAGCAGAGATGAATATCAGGCGGAGAGGTGAGAAAAATGAAGGATTTATGCTCGAAAACTTAACGTACTCGCTTGTTGATGTCCACAAAAGCTTGGAAGAGATGAATCGACCACTGGTTTTCCAAATTCGTGAGGCGATTCAGCCGAGTTGAAGAGTACGAATGCTGGTTAAACCGACTTGTTCATTGTTCTTCACTGACATTGCTAGCAGGAGAAGTAGCGAGGGTTTCTTTAGGGGTTTTAGAGATTGTATATTTTAATTAAATTAAAAATATATTATATACCTTTTAGTCCTTAATGTTTTAGTTATTTTTATTTAATCCCCATTATTTAACAAATTCTAATTTAGTCCCCATCATATTTTTTTTTTTCACTTTCGACCGTTGACTAATTGGTCCACGTGTCAGTTTATTGCTCCAACTGTCAAGAAACTCATTTTTTAAACTCCTCCATGCATGCAGCCACGTAACGTAACACGTCAACAACCCCTCTCTTTCTCTCTCTAAACCCATTCATAGATTCCGGGCTTCATTTCCCCCCTGCACCACAACAGATCAAGTCCAGGAGTACACAAAATCTGAACCAGAGGCCATGGTGAAGCTCGCTTCCGCTAGGGATTTCAGGGCGTATGGCCCTAGGGCGGCCCGGAGCCGGGCGGAGTACATAAACGCCGGCCTCTACTTGTTCGCTACTATCCTTCTTCTCGGCGGATTTGTGGCTCAGCTTTCGCGAGAGGCCAAATCCGGTTTGGCCCTAATTGTGCTCGCGGCTGCTCTAATTTTGATTGTTAATGTGCACGATCTCTTCGCGCATCTCGCCGGAATCGATTACCGGTTGCCGCTGCTGGCCCAGTACGACGTCCAGCTTCTGTTTGTGGAATTTTCTGTTCCATTTCTTCAGGCGATTGGATCGTTGCTCTTGTCGTTGGGTACTCTGTTTCTTCTAATTCAGGTGCGGATTAATAATTTGATTCCGTTGATTCATTCTGTAATGTGTCATACTCTGATCAAGATTTCGAAGTATGAAGACTATCCTTACAAATCATTATACAACACCACCATGCTAGGTGCGAAGACTATCCTCGCAAATTAACATGATTCTTTTAACCTTTTTTGATGTTTTTTAGGTAAAAGTATGCTACGATTGAGCTACCGAATAGAGAAGTTGTTCTTTGTTGATATAAGTGGTAACTTTCCGTTCTTTTAAGTACTTCTTAACGGTTACGTAGTCAAGATCCTCAAAATTACTCTAGTTCAAATGTAGTCTACCCATTCTTTACTCGGGGTCACACATTCAGTTTCTACTTTCCAGGTTAAAAATAATCTTCGTCTGAAATTCGACTTGTTCTTTCATTTTCTTTACTTTAGCTGTCCAAAGTTAGTACATCTAGTTATCTACTGCCATGCCAGAATGACACAGTTCTTGTCAACTTGAGCTGATTATGGCATTTCTAATGTTCAAAGTCCCCCACAGCCACGTGCGTTTCTCACAGGCATTCTCTTTCTTGAGAAATTATTCGAGTTAATTTAGAACACGCATCGATTGCTTTTTCGTTAGTGATATACAGGAAAAGCAAGTAAATTAGATGTTAATTGGCCTCAAACTAATGGTGTGACTGTTTTAAAGATTTACTAGAAGGGCAAGGACTAGGATGGAACAAGTCTCAAAATTGAGGACCAAAATGGTGTTTTAACCAAATTGGAACTTAACTACAGGCATAACCTCACTTCAAATTTGCTATTTTAGATCGATCATTTGGTTCTTTGGCTTGGTTTGATGAAATTTGCTGTGTTAGTTCACTCTTGATCTCTTCCCTTGGTTTTTTAGAATTAGTACAAGAAAACGACAAAAATCTAACTCTATGTGTAACAGGTCAAGTCTACCGCTAACATATATTATCCTTTTTAGGCTTTCCCTTCCGAGTTTTCCCTCAAGGTTTTAAAACGCATCTACTAGGGAGAGGTTTTTATACTCTTATAAGGAATGTTTCGTTCCCCTCTCCATTCAATGCGGGATCACACATTTTAACTCTCTCTGAACCGTGGTTCTGTTCAACCACACTAACTGCGTTCTCTACCTATGGCACGGAAAATCAAGCAACCTTTTAAAATCACTCACTTCTTTGAAGAGTCTCAAGTTTCAGGGTCAATGGAGCCAAAGCCATTTTCCTACCATTGTTAGAAAACTTGGATTTCTAGCAAAATGAGTGAAAGAGTGTGTAGTGTGAGGCTTTTTAGGTAACATTTCTATTTCTTTCTTGTTTCTTGTTTTTTCTTATTGAGTTTTGAAAATACACGAAACATGAAATGGTTACTGTCAGAATGGAAGACTATATATTCCTTTTGGCAATGGTTACCCCATTCAATTAAAAAACTGGCCAGCGATTTTTAGTTACTCCTGTAGAACAGTATTGTTATACCACTTCGGATGAAATTTTCAATACCTTCTTTTTCCCTGATTTAAGAGTCGGGAGTCGGGTGCTTTTACTACTATGAATATTTGGTAGTATACTCCTCGAGCCATCCTTTGCCTTCTAAGTACTTGACAATGCTTTGGGATTCACCTTCCTTTGTTACTCATACCGGAGGTCTCACTTCTGATACAAGGGACACATAAATATGAATCTCCATGTCCAAGACGGGAAGCTATGCCAAAATCTTGAAAATGCTCACCACAGTTTATGATTTGCATTGTAGGACAACTATGTGATCAATTCCTTCTATTCATAATGTTGACTTTTTCAGCATTAGTGTTTGTTTTCTGTTTTTCTCCCCCTCCTTTTGCACTTTATAAGAGCTGTCATTCAATCCACTTCTGCAGGAACAAAAAGGACATGATTATTACAAACTAGAAAAGCATGTTTTGGATATGCTTATTGCGGGTCCTGCCTTGTGGATCCTTGGATCAATCCTCAACTCATGCCAAATCTACGAGAGAGCTGACGGTCATGTTCAAATCTTGCAACAGAGTGTCCACATTCCGTTTTTAATAGGAAGCTTGCTATTCTTTGTTGCTGCAGTCCTCAATGGCTTTGAGCAGGCCGGGTTAGCCCATCGCGGACTCAAGCTTCTGGTATGTGCATGAATATTTATATTTTACTGTCGCGAACGAATGAGATGATGTTTATTGTGTTATTTATATAGCATAATTTATAGAGTTATTACGATGTTACATTGCGGACTGTCCGTCTTCAAGTAGAAGTGTATTGATCTAGTTTTGTTTGTTTTGAATTATAGGTTTATACCTTCTGCATAATCATATACTTCTATTACTTTCTAGTTTCTTAACTTTCTTATCGTGCAAAGATCGTATCGAAGAGGATTTTGCTGGTATATAATAATGTCTATAATTCACTTAATCACCTAATGTTCTGTTTTTGTGATTCTGAGTAGTACTTCAATATTTGTTCAAGGGAAGAAATTCTGACTTGGAGTCTCTGCATTTTTATAACGAAGTGGTTGTACAATGAATGGCATCCGAATGAAGTGATGTGAATGTCAATGCAGGGCAAAAACTGGGTTTGGTTTGGCATCTTTGGGAGCTTGTCACTCTTGTTAGGCGGATTGGGAAACGTGCATAAGGTGTTCAAGATGCAGCAGTTTGATGGATTGCGACTTGAGAAGCTTCGAGGAGGGGCGAACGAGCGTCTTCTCGGAGAACGAGAAGGCAGGATTCCCCTAATCCTAGAGGATCAGGGGCGGAGAAAACGACTCTCCGATGAAGAAAAGGGAAGGCAAGCCTCTCCAACCCCTTATAAAGATGTCCTTGTAGGCCAAACTTCCTGAACTTATGATCTTATTCTCTTTCCACTTCCATAGCTGATCCCTGCAACTGTACTTCAGGCCTGCAAAGTAACCTTTTGTTACAGAATCCTGTGCATGTTTATTGTAGTCCACGGAGTGAAAACATTGTTGATACATCTGATTTCTGATTTAGTATAGTTGTTTCCATTTGGACATTCAAATTTTGTTTCGACTTGCCTTTCTCTATTCCCATTCAAATTTTCAAAATGCACGTCTCCATTTTAAATCAACCGTTGTTAACAGTTGTTGTTTTGTTATGGTTTGTGCTTTTCCTTTCGAGTTGTAACAAATGGTATTAGAGACAGACATCAAGACGATAATATTGTTTTCTTTGTGCTTTTTTTTTTGAGTTGTAACAAATGGTAACAAAGATAGATATCGAGACGACGTACTAGTGAAGATGTTTGTTTTAAGAAAGTGGATTGTGAAATCATACATTAATTGGAGAGAGAAATAAAATATTATTTATGAAACATTTCTTATAAGAGTGTTAAAAACACAGGTTTGTTTTTGCAATTACACTTAGTTTTTTTTTTTAATAAAATTGATTATGGTAAAAAATTAACAGAAATTAAAACAAAAGAAAAAAAAAAGAAAAAAGATGTGTCTCTTTCTCGTATGATGGTCATAACTTAAATTATTTGGACCATTTTACCCCTTGCAAAGCAATGCCATATATCCAGTGAAAAGAAAAGAAAAAACATCCTTATTTTTATCGTTTTAGATCATCTGCAGAAGCCCACGGAAAACTTCTCCCTCTGCGTCTTTCTGAAACCCTAACTTTCACAGCTCTTTCAATTCTTTTCTTTCCCGAGGGTTTATCGTCCATTATCTCAGGTATTCTATTTCTCTATCTCGATCTTCTCGTGGATCGCTTTCTGTTCTTCGATTCTTTAGGTATTTTGGTATGTAATGCCGTCTATTGCTCTCCTGATTCGTGCTTTTGACTTCTTCGTTCTGCATGATTATTACTTGAAAGATTGTCGTGTTTGATGATGATTTTTTCGTTATCGATTATATTTTTTGTTTATTCTGTGATTATGTACATAAGAATGTTTGCTGTAATTACGTGGACGATAAATGACATTGCGATGTCGCCTGAATCATTGGATTGATTTATCAGGTGCTGTCTTAATAATCGTCTGTTAATTTCTTTGATTATTCTGTACGGGTCGATCTTATTGGCGATCTTGCCTTTACTGGTATGTTTGGTAGATTGGTCTGTGCTTCGAAATTACGTTTGATTGAACCTCTGCAGTGGTGAAGTTCTTTGGTCCATTTGTTGCTGTTTTCAACTTTATGGGCTTACTCTGTAAGTTAGGGAGAAAAAAAGGAAGTAGTAGTAAAAGAAGCGAGGGATAGAAAATGAAAACTAAAACCCAAACAAGACAAGATGGGAAATTTAAGAGACGAAGAAACTTGTTCATTGACCGGCATGGCTCTATTTTATGCATCCCCAGATTCTCTCTGTATATCTGTTAACGAGATAATGGAACATTGTTCATATCAATGCAGAATTGAGGATTTTATGGTACAATTGTTGATGGTGATAGAGAGTTATAGGTTAATGAACGTCTGTTTTTATTTCTGCGTACTGAATTTTATGTTCTAACAGTACAACGGTTGTGTATAAATTTGCAGTGTTCTCCTATTAGTTGGGCAATATGTCGTCGGTTTCTAGTCAGCCACAGTTCCGTTATACCCAACCACCGTCGAAGGTTCTCCACTTGAGGAATTTGCCTTGGGAATGCACGGAGGAGGAACTTATTGAACTGGGGAAGCCATTTGGAAAAGTTGTGAACACAAAATGTAATGTCGGGGCAAACAGAAATCAAGCTTTTATTGAGTTTGTAAGTGCAGTATTTTCTCATATATTGTTTTCCGTCATCAGTATACCTCACTAGCTGGTCTTTCCAATAAATGTTTGACCAAGTTTCAAATTACAGGTAGACATAAATCAAGCAATTGCAATGATATCATATTACGCATCGTCCTCAGAGCCTGCTCAAGTTAGAGGAAAAACTGTTTATCTGCAGTATTCTAACCGGCAAGAAATTGTGAACAACAAAACTACAGCTGATGTTCCTGGAAACGTACTTTTGGTAACAATTGAGGGCACTGATGCACGCCTTGTCAGCATTGATGTTCTGCACTTGGTAAGCAGATTGTAATACGTTCTTGTTGCGGTTAAAGGTGAACCTCTGTGGCACTAAGATTAAATTATGGTGATTAGGTTATAGTTTGTCATGTTTCAAAAGCTTTTGTTTGACTTGAATGTAAATGAATGAGCAGGCCCTTGTCAAGGCAATATCTTTGATGGCAGCTTAGTGCATCTGGAGAAAGAGCACATGTGTGTTTGTCTCCTTTCTCCTTTCCTTAACACTACCTCTCTCTTCCCTTCTCTTCTTCCTCAACTTCCTCCTACCTTTCACAGTTTAGGATATAATCATTTCTGCTCTCTTGTGCATCCTTCTCCCTATCATCTCTGCATGCTGTGCCAGTGATACTACTGTCTAAATCCAGTCATGAGATTCAGAGTATAGGAATTTTTTGTTCTAAATTTTTGGATTATCTGTTTTCAGTATACAAGTATTCTGCCCTAATGGACAAACATTTGAAATAGATGAAGGATTCATAGGATGATACTCCATATGCATCTGAAAAATGTGGGTGACTTTGCCTTCTCTTTTTAAAATGGTAGGATGAATGTTAAATTTCTAGAGGTCTTCAACCATTATTTAACAACTTATTTCATTATGGTTATTTTTAGGATAGATTATACCTATAGATGGTGATTGATTTCAAACCAATAGTTGCTCTTTCCTCTAGTGAGCTAGTCAGGTGTTACTAATTTGTTTTGGATTTGCATTTTTGCTAAATCATATCCATCTCTCTTAGAGGAGTTGAAATTTACTTAATGTTTGATTGGCATATACCATTATGCGTTTTAATCATATCCTCTTAATTGGTATATAAGTTCTATGTTATTCTTGAAAAAAAATTTCAAGCTTTTTCTTTGTTAACATTATCCATTATATGCCCTCCATTTACTCTTGTTCCTGGCAGTAGCACTTGAGCAATAATTTTCTATAATTTGAACTTCCCAGTTTTTTGCAGTAGGGTTTGTATTATTAATGTTTAATGTTTGTTACCTGTAGCTATCTATTTAGACATCCTACTAGGTCTATGTTTGGAGTTTAGGTGTATCTGCTTTGACTATGATTGTAAAATGATAATTTGTATGATATTAGGCATCTGGTAGGTGTTGGGATATTCTTAAAATGTGATGAATGCTGTGATATCATTTGGTTTAATTGCATTCTGAAGGTTATCCAATATTATGCACAGGTCTTTTCAGCCTTCGGGTTTGTGCACAAAATTACTACCTTTGAGAAAACAGCTGGATTTCAGGTCCGTAAATAATTTATAATCTTAGCAGTTGTCCTATTGTTACTTCCATCCTTGGAGAAAATCTTATTCAGTTAATGATGTTTGAACATTTTAGGCATTGGTGCAATTTTCGGATGCAGAGACTGCCTCATCAGCTAAGAATGCCTTGGATGGGAGAAGCATCCCTAGGTGACAATTGTATTAATGCTTCACATGGTTTTTTGGCCTCTTCTATGGTGTATATAGCAGTAGAAGAGTTGCACATGCACTAGCCTGGTGTCTGTCTGTGATTATTCTTGTTGCAGTAATCAAAGAATTGTAAAATATTGACTTAAAATACTTTGTTCCATTATCAGTAGTATTCAAACTTTTTGTGTCGAGTGATGCTATATTTAACAAATGTGTATGATTAAAGAACTGAGTTCTAAAATTCTTGCATGTCATTATGCTATTTTTACATGTATCATCAATTGTTTCTTATTTCAGTTTGGTACCTTTTTGCAGATATCTGCTTCCTGATCATGTTGGACCATGTTCTCTTAGAATTACTTACTCTGCCCACACTGATTTGACTGTGAAATTTCAGAGCCATCGAAGCAGGTTTTCCCAGCTTTCTGCATTTAGTCTGCTATCGATGTGTTTATTTTGACTTAGTAGTAACATTTCACAACGTCTAAGATAATTCCCCTTGTTACCGAATGTCATTTACCTTATGCTGAAATTGTCATCTCTTTGTAACTAGTGTCTGTTTTATCACTATCTTTTTCTCTCTCCCCTTTCTGATAGTATGTTGATTCAGGGACTACACTAATCCTTATCTTCCCGTTGCTCCATCAGCCATAGATGGAAGTGGTCAGGTAAGGAATGCATTAGGTGGCATGTTATTAAGTTGTGCCCATAAATTTCTACTTTCCATTTATCCTATGTGCACGTTATATAGATAAAAAAATTCAAATGTTGTACAAAATAAAAAAATGAAGATAAAAGCTTCAATTGACGTGCTTTTCACTTAAGTGCTGGCTTATTAGAACAAATCTTGGCACTTCTTTTTATCTTCTCGTTTCTTATATTATTTTCTAAATCCATCCTTTGATTGAATTTTTCGTCAGTCACCTTTGCAGTTCACCGTGGGTTTGGATGGAAAGAAGCTTGAACCAGAGAGTAATGTTCTTCTTGCCTCCATTGAGAATATGCAATATGCAGTCACCTTGGAGGTTTTGCACATGGTATTGCATGATATGCCAATTTTATTGTGATTTTGTTTCTGGACTCTAGAACCATATATAGATATAATGACTAGGAATGTTTATCTTATAATTCTTTGTCAACTATTTTTTATGCTAACCATTTTTCTTTTTATTGGCAGGTTTTTTCTGCGTTTGGTCCTGTTCAAAAGATTGCCATGTTTGACAAGAATGGGGGAGTGCAGGCCTTGATTCAATATCCAGGTAGCTACTTTTAGCTCAATCGTGCTGACACTAATCTCACTGTTGGGTTTAAATGTAAATTAGCAACCTCTTGTTTAAAGAAATGGTTAAAAGCTTATTTACAGTTTATAACATGATAGCAACCATATGCTTTATAAGTTCAAAAAGGGTTTATTTAATTTCAAATCATCGAACAAATTAAATTATCCTTACTGAACTAGAAGCTTAGATAGTGCAAAGTGTAACTTCGAAGTGCTATACGAGTAAAAGTAAGAAGATGGACACAGCAACGTATTTAATATGGTTCAACTTCAATCTACGCATGAATATTATTTCAATTGGAGTATGTAGCATAGTAATTAATAACATGCCACGCGTGAACAGACGTTCAGACTGCAGTAGTTGCCAAGGAAGCCCTGGAGGGACACTGTATTTATGATGGAGGGTTTTGCAAGCTTCACATCTCATATTCACGCCACACTGATTTGAGCATCAAGGTAATAAAAACTTCACTCTTATGGTGATTTGTTCAAGAGTAATTAGAATCTAAATTACTCTTTACAGAGGACGATGACTTGTTTTTTTCTTCAAATTGAGTTCTGCTTCTCAGGAGTAAAAGAATGTGGGCATTGATTCTTTTCTCTATTGCCTCTGATGCAATTGGATTATTTTTAAGAGGAATGCTCCTAAATGTCCAATTTGATGTGATCATTGTAGGTGAATAATGACCGAAGTCGGGACTATACGATTCCCAATACTCCCATGGTGAATTCTCAACCAGGGCAGCAACCAGTTCAAATGATGGGTCCTTCCAGCCATCAATACAACGGAAACCAGTATGGTCCTTCTGCAGAGCAGCCTGGGGTGCAGGCTCAGCCTTCTTCAGGGTGGGGGTCGAGCAGTCCTGCTGCGCCCTACTCCATGCCCATGCACAATCCTGGTTACATGCCATCAGGGACAATGCCGCCTCAGATGGGCCCAGGTATGATGTCAAGCCCCAGTGGTTTACACCAGACACCACCACCGCCCTATCGCCCCGATCACAGGCAATAGCATATATTTTCTTCTGTTTAATAGTTGATTGTCCATTCAAGAAAACCAACTAAGCTTCTCAAAAATACTAGAGCATGCAATTTGTCTGATGAATATGTGCATTAAATTGGACGGTTACATGAACTCACTGTTGGGAACCAATTAGGTCAGTTTTGTTCATTTTCCTTTTATTTTAAGGGATTTGAATGAATGTAAGATCCTTGAGTTAAAAACCAATCACTTTCTTTGAAGCCAAGTGACTTGCAAAACTTGGTTATTATCATCAATTGTCTTCAGATACTTGATTACTGTTTTAGTAGTCTCTTACCTTTTCTCATTCTCGTTATTGCTATAATTACGATACTCCTCCCCTTCCACCATATCCTCAACTCATTGATGCTTATACAATGTACTATATCAAACGTGGCTGTATTTGTCCAAGATCATCATAGTTCATGAGAAGCCTGGTTGCTGTTTGTCATTGCCCTCCATACTGATAAAAAATTGTATTGGGGACATTTTATATAAATCTAAAAACTTGTTTTTCTTTGATAAAAAATTGTATTGGGGTTTTAGATAATTTCTTTTGGTGTTGAATCACCTTTCAGCTGTGTACTTGTATTTTAATTTCATTTTTTTTTTATTTATGAGAAACTTTCAAATTCAAAACTATGGATTTGACTCATTGTGAAAGTAAATGCCCCTTGTGTAAGGTTTTTGTTGATATTGAAATTCAGATCAAAGGTAAATTTGTAGATGGTAGAAAAAGTAGTCTTCCTCTCACTCTCTTTCTTTCAAGATTCTTGAGTCGGTTACTCGTGCTAGAGGAAACTCAATGGTTGGGTTACAAACTAGACTCCCACCAGACTCCCTTTGTAACAAGTGTCAAAGGCTTCAAACTCGGACTCCTTTTGTTGATCGAACTAAACTTTTTAGAGTATGCCTCATGATAGAGGTGACTCTAAGGGTCAGTCTCAAGGCCATGTGTGAGCCCTTGGAATTGACCTCATAGTCGAGCTTCCTTGGAATTGGCCTCATGGTTAAACTAATTGGCCTTTATTGAGCTAGTTGGACTAATTTTAAGTGCAACTTATTATTTTTATTTTTTTAAAGACATTAAAATATAGGTTAGTGTTAACAATCGATGAGCGATGAGATATAAAAGGTTGATTGGATTGGAAGAGAAGGTAAGAACCAATTCAATTTCGCAATAAGTATAATTTATTGAATAAGAAAAAAAAAAGTTTAATAAGATATATAACTCATAGAAGCTAATATAAAGATGTAGAGCTGTAGAGACGAAATTGTAATTTAATCAAACAAAAAGGCTAAATATGTCTTTTAGTCACTCATTATATTTATTTATTTATTTATTTTAATTTAACCCATAAGTCAATTTCACAAAGTCGGCGATACAAAAATCGGCGCCAAGAACAGTTATATAAAGAGAAGGCCCTCTATTTTCCCCCACATTCACTATCTCTGTAACATCTCAACTTCCATTCACTATCTCAGAGTTTCCATCGCAATGGTCAATCTTCAAGCTTCTTTGTTCTTCAATCATTCACTCTCTCCTTCGCCTCTGCTTTCCCCTCCTCTTCCCCTTCTTTCTACTGCTTCTTCTTCTGCTTCTTCTTCTTCTTCAAGGCAGAGGGTTCACTCCTCATTGCTTCTTCCTTGCCGCTCCATTTCTTGCAACTCATTTTGGGATTGTAGGTTTCGACTTGGGCATCGTTCTTCTTCTTCTTCTTCCCTTCCGTGTACATTGCACCCTGACTATGGCAGTTTCAATTCAGAATTGGTTTCTTCTCCCGATGGTAATATAGGCTCTGGTCCTCAAGATTTCAATGCTGGTGGGTTTGGCGATCAGGGTGCGGATTTTGATGGGAACAGGATGGAGGGCAGCGAGAGTAGAATTCATTCTGAGAAAGAGGGCAAGTGGAGAAATCTGCCGTTTGCGGTGTTCTTGATGGGATTGTGGGCTGCAACGAGAATGAAGTTTCAGAAGGTGATTGAAATTGTGATGGATTGGTGTAGTCGGTGGACGTTTTGGCGGCAGGAGAAGCGGTTGGAGAGGTTAACTGCTGAGGCCGATGCGAATCCGAAGGATGCGGCGAAGCAGAGTGCTCTATTCGTGGAATTGAATAAGAAGAGGTGAAGTTCTGAAACTTGATTTTCTTGATTGCAAGATTATTGCAAGATTATGTTCTGAAACTTCTTCAATTTTCATTTCCAGTCCCGAGTCTGTCATTAGGCGTTTTGAGCAAAGGGATCATGCGGTAGATAGTAAAGGAGTAGTGGAGTATCTTCGAGCTCTTGTGCTCACCGATGAAATTGCTGAGTATCTTCCAGATTCTGATGTTGGAAGGCCGTCTACTCTTCCTACATTGGTATCTTCGAGCCCAATTTCTCTGTTCTTTTATTGGAACGATCTCAAATTTGTATGAACACACTTGTATTATTTGATAATGCATAGCTACAAGAGTTGAAGCAGCGAGATTCTGGCAATGTGGATGAGCCTTTTGTGAATCCTGGCATTTCTGATAAACAACCATTGCATGTAGTAATGGTAAGTATCATATCATTAGTCATGATAAGGAATTTCTTGGACTTCCCCTTTCCTTACCATTTAATATTATGAGAAATTCTTCTGAAGGTTAATCCTAAAGCAGCCTACAAGTCTCGGATCCTACAAGAACTGATATCCACTATAATTTTCACTGTTGCTTTTGGATTAGTATGGTATTAACCTTTACGTCATGATCTCTATCACTGTTGGATTAGTGTGTTCTTTCCGTTGTCAATGATATCAAATGAGAGTCCTCTTGCAGGTTTATGGGTGCAACCGCACATCAAAAATACATAGGGAGTTTTGGGGGCATAGGAACCTCAGGCATTGATCCAAGTTCTCTATATGCTCTAAACGAATTCACAAAAGAATATATGCCAGAGAAGGTATATAATAATAACGGCCCATTTTACCGAGAAAGAAATAATGTTTCGACTCGTAGGCTAAGTCTAGGAGTGAGTTAGGGTGAATTAGTTATTTGTTTCATGCAAAATTCTTTTGTTCTTATTCCTTGATAAAATTATCCCGGTAGAATGTCAAGACATTTAAGGATGTTAAAGGTTGTGATGATGCAAAGCGAGAGCTGGAAGAAGTAGTGGAGTATCTGAAGAACCCTTCCAAGTTTACCCGCCTAGGGGGAAAGTTGCCAAAGGTTTGTGTTTGTCACTTTCGGACTTGATTTGCATTTTGTAGTTATCTTATCTGGCAGTTCTTCGTTGTAATTAGTTTATGTTGCTTAATCTTCACGAGGACTTATTTCAGCTAAGAAAAAGAGAAGGAAATAAGAAAAAGGGTATAAAGAACTTAGAAACCTTTGCTTGTCATCAGTGAGTGAAGGTCCTTCCTCCATATGAGAGGACCATCATGGATTCATGGATGGACTAATACGATTCATGGATGGATAAAGGCCAATGTTCATTCTCTCTACCCTTACTTAGCCATTGGTTGAGTAGGATTTCCTCCCATTTCTTATCAAATGAATATCTTTCTGTCTCCAGAATTCCTTCACAAGAAGTTTTTCTGTTTTCTTCTTCCTTTATTTATTTTCATATGGTACCTGCCTAAAAGATTTATTTACAGGGAATTCTTTTAACAGGAGATCCAGGAACTGGGAAAACTTTACTTGCTAAGGTAAAACTTCCCTCAGTTTTACTATAAAAGAGATTATTTTCTTTATTAGAACTGCAATCATCTAGGCTTTGTTGGCTTTCATTTGTTAATCTATGTTGGACGATATGTTTATTACTTTGGCTGACAGCTGATTGGTAATTCATTATATAATTGGTGTTCTCAAGGCTATTGCTGGTGAAGCTGGAGTACCATTTTTCTACAAACCAGGATCTGAGTTTGAAGAATTGTAAGCCTCCTTTTTTGTATACGTTAACGTTATCGTGTAATGATTAACAAATTTTAACGTTATTGTTTTCAATTGGTAGGTTTGTTGGTGTTGGTGCTCGACGTGTGAAATCATTATTTCAAGTAGCAAAGAAAAAGGTTTGTTTGTCTTTGGATAACTTAATCACCTTGCTTGAAGCATCCAAGCTTAGAACAAATGTAGACCATGTGAAAGCACCCAAGTTTGATTATTTATCTTGTCCACAGGCTCCTTGCATTATTTTTATCGATGAAATAGATGCTATTGGGTCGACCAGAAAACAATGGGAAGGCCACACGAAGAAGACATTGCATCAACTACTTGTTGAAATGGATGGCTTTGAGCAGAATGAGGTACTTATCAAAAGGAACTGTGAGCTTTCTTATACAAAAGGATGGCTTGGAGTATGATTTAGTTTTGTATCTCTGCAGGGTATCATATTGATGGCCGCTACAAACTCGCCAGATATTCTTGATCCAGCTTTGGTGAGGCCTGGTAGATTTGACAGGCATGTAAGTTCCTATTTTTCTTAGGGAAGTTGTAGTATGAATATGGATGACTGTCATTTTGTTCACTAATAGTAGGATTTGAATGAGCCATATCCAGTCCTTAAGCCAATATTTGGATTTAATCCATTATAATTGTTTTCCATACTGTTCTATGGTTAGTCTCCTTGACTACTTCAAAGCTAACTGACATCCATTTGTAGATCGTTGTCCGGGACCCTGATGTACGTGGTCGCCAAGAGATTCTAGAGCTCTATTTACAAGACACACCTTTGGATGATAGTGTAGATGTTAGAGCAATTGCTCGTGGCACGTCGGGATTTAACGGGGCAGGTAAGTTTTCAGATGTGTGCAACTTAACTGACATAAAATGAGAGAGATCTTTTTCCTGAGCAACCGACATTTCTTTTCTTGTCAGATCTTGCAAATTTGGTAAATATTGCAGCCATTAAAGCTGCTGTTGAAGGTGCAGAGAAGTTAAACAATGAGCAGTTGGAGTTTGCAAAAGATCGAATAGTTATGGGTACTGAGAGGAAAACAATGTTTATACCAGAAGAGTCAAAGATGGTATTAATTGATATTTCAACTTCTGAAATATTGTATGTATGTCTGATGATGTACCTTTCATTGTAGCTCACTGCATACCATGAGAGTGGTCATGCAATTGTTGCGTTTAACACCGATGGTGCACATCCGATTTATAAAGCAACGATTATGCCTCGTGGATCTTCTCTAGGAATGGTCACACAACTTCCTCCAAATGACGATACATCTATTAGCAGAAAGCAACTATTAGCACGACTCGACGTTAGTATGGGGGGAAGAGTTGCAGAAGAGATCATATTTGGGCATGACCATATCACCACTCGAGCAAGTAGTGATCTTCACAAAGCTACGGAGCTTGCCCAATATATGGTACTTCACTAGATTGGGTTTCTAAATTATTCCATTTTGTCGATATCGGTTTTTGATGGTCAATCATTTTATGTGTTCTACCAGCAGCACCCTAGTTTTGCTTTCTCATCCTCAATGTTGTTTTGATTACCAATGAAGGTGGCGGTTTGTGGGATGAGTGAATCGATTGGGCCTGTTCATATCAGAGAACGTCCGAGCGCAGAACTGCAGTCATGTATTGATGTAGAAGTATGTTTTTGGTCCCTCCAGCCCCTTTGAATAATCTGGCCAAACTAATTCCTTCCTAACCCTAAATTTTATATAACTTGGGTGTGCAGGTCGTTAGTCTCCTAAAAGATGCATATGACCGTGTGACAGCCCTCTTAAAAAAGGTTCAGTATGAATATCCTGGACTAAATTTTATTCACAATCTCGACTGCTAACCAATATGTTAAGCATTACAAGTTCAATTCTAACGTTTGGCACTTTTGTTTCACAGCATGAGAAGGCGTTACATGCACTGTCAAATGCACTTTTAGAACATGAGACTCTCAGTGCAGAAGAAATAAAGAGGATTCTACTTTCTTACAGAAACCAACAAGTAGAATTAGAAGAAGAAGAGGATTTTGTATTGGATTGAAGTTCTCTGACGTTTCAGCAGTTCATTGTGCCATATCATCTCTGTAAAGTAACTGAAACAACCAAGAAAGAAGAGGTCAATACATAATGGTGGGTTATAGAAAGAAAATGTAGGACCTTAGCATCTTCTTCACGACATTCCAGCTAGCAGATCAAATCATGGGCACAACCACGAGTCCCTTTACAAAAAAAAAAAATTCAGTAGAGTATTCATATGTGTCCATGTAATTGTAATATCTGCGACATTTTTTTTGACAGTACATGTATTAAAACTGTTCTTACATATCGGTTTAACCGTCAGATCTCTAATAAAACAAAAGATTCAATCTTTTCGCTATTCTAAACTCGTTTCTTCTATTAGTCTTTCCATTATCGTGTGTCTCAAAGCATTTATTTCTCATTTGTTCTTATGTTCAGCCACTAGAATATTGTCAAGCAGGACTGCCAGAGAAAGAGAGAGAGAGAGAGAGAGAGAGAGAGAGAGAGATTATGTACTCGCAGTTTGCAGTGTGGAGATGAGCGTCAAAGCATCTCTCTTCTCAGTTGTAATGGAGAGAGAAGCATCAGTGATGTCAAAGAATCCAGATTGCTGCACCTGCATGAATAGAATTGAATTGGGTTTAGTCAGAGAGAGAGAGAGAGAGATCATGAGATGCACCTTGGACCCATATAAATTTCTACATTGACACTGTGCATCCATTGGCTGATATTTTGCATAAATCCGAAGTGCAGCAATTTATCCCACTCCCGTCCAAAGGAAGTTTGGATGTCTCATTCTCATCTGATAATTAATTCTAGAATTTGGAAAACCAAGATATTTTCACTACCATCAACAGTATGCATGAGTTTCTGACACTGAGCACCACCATAAGCAAACACTGCTGACCACCATAATCGAATATAGATATACAGTTCAAGCAACACAAAAATGCTAAAAAACTGACATTATTACATGCCCTTCTCTGGGAAGATGAGGACATTGACAGATAGTCGATAGGAGGGTAGTAAGAAGAGTCAGCAATGCATGTGTGTCAGCTCAGATGGAGCTTTTTGCTGTCAAATAACCAGAGGTACCCTGTGATGATGACCTCAGAGAAACCTAAAACACAGAACGCCATCAAGAAGTAGCATTACATTACCTCAACTAAGCATAGCATTTGTAGTTTGTAAAACTGAAACAGAGCAGAAGCCAATATACAGAAACCATTCATCGCTACCAAAGTTATATACATAAATATGCATAGACCACCATGAACAAAACCCTGGAACTTGAAGGAATCTAGGCTTCCCTCTCTCTCTCTGTCTCTAAATAATTTAATTCTTCAAAGAGTTTCTCAAACCTTACAAGACCCTTTATGCTCCAGGTACTAGATAAGACTTGCAGAACTAAAATAAAAAGAAAGATCATATCAACCGATACAAAATGATGCTAATTTGGGTACCATATACCCTATGCCAGTCCATCTCCAAAGCCTTCAAAGAAATAAGAGCCTAGGAGGCTTCATTCGAGGCAACCCCTCGCATGCATTGCTAGTTACCACTCCCATTTCTTAAATCCTTTCCAGAGGTTCAGTGCGATCATGCACCGCTAGCCGCTCTGAAACATCAGCAAGTGACTTGAGATTGCATTTGATGAAGGCTTCCACAAAGTAGCAAGTCTCATCCTTCGTGTTTCCTTCAGGGACATCCACCACAAATGATTCAATTACCGAAGTCCCAGGTCTTCCATCAATGATTTCTGGATGCAGGGAAATGATTGAAGAGTAATTCTGAAAGAATGTTACGGAGAATTTATATTTATTCCTGATTAAGTCACAGTCGTTCAAAAATGGCGGAAGAGAAATGATGTCTCTAGCGAGGTATCCCCAAGCATGAAAGTGAGAACAATTAAGTCACTAATAGCTACTATAGTGCCCATCCTAAGCAGAATTTCCAGTTTAGTTCACCAATCACAAAAATAGTGCCATGATAGAGCTTGGATTCATGTTAAATCCTTAATTAGACAGTCACATGCTACTAATCATGAGAAACTCATTATTGTTTATTCCAAAGCACATGCCACTAATGCAAATAGTTGAAATTACATGGTATAATAAAATATTCCAAGCATTATCAGTGGACAGAAGTGACAACCGTAAGCACATTGAAACAAGATCATGGCTAAAACAATTCCTCCTTTTGATTTTTTAACATATTTGAAATCTCAATTCTCTGAACTGGAGTAAGAATCTTTGGATCAATTGAGGATTCCAACTTTCAAGGATAAATATCTGTATAAAAATGGTTAAAAATTTTGAACACAAAAAATATTCTCCTGCCTACTTTGTTTGAGAACACATAAGACATTTATTTTCACCTTGAAAAAGAAAAAACATATGTTCGGCCAATATCAGGACCAGTGATATCTCAAATAAAATGGTAGGCTAAAAATACATTGTCCTGTACCTTGAGTCTGTGATCTCCGCCAACAATCCTCATGCTAAGGATGTGTTTATCATCATCAAGGAGTTCCAATCTCTCTGTACTTGTTGTGGCAGGAAGCCCCGATTTCACATCAACTTCCCTGAGAGTCCCTATCTCAAGGTTTCCCTTTACAACACATCTGCGAACAAAGGGTTTGTATCTTTGTGGTTGATCAAACCTCCTTACCAGAGACCATACCTGAAGAGGAGACATTCCAGTTTAGAAAATAATACAGTACAAAATGAAGGCAAGAATCCAATAACTCAAATTACGATAATATACCAATATCCCCATAATTCTTATTGCGAACTTGCACCTTTATCCCCATATGATCTCAGATATATATTAGACAAGGGGAAAACATAAAGAAACCGTGCTAGTTCCTAGAGGTACAATGTCTTTACACTTCCTTGAATTTGGTACTCTAAGACTCACCTTTCACTTTCTTTTGAAAACATTACCTGGAGGAACCAAACTCCAAAATTTATGAAAAGAACCAAACTCATAAACGTACGGAATCGAGATAGTGATTGAGATATAATGCATGGACATTCATATTTCCATATAAACATAGAAGAATGCAGAAACCAACAGAATCAATTAAGCCAATAAAATAAAATATCCATTATCATGAATCATAGCCTCAAGATCATTAGTGTTGATAAGTACAACGCATTTAGATAGCACAGTTACGCACATAAAACCAAAAAATGATCAAATCCATCGTTATCAACAGAAATTGAAAATGGACAAAGAGAGAGAAGATGATTTACAAGATGAACAGGAGCTTTAATATGCTTAACAAGCTGAGAGGTGCACTGATTCTCAGCAGCCTCGTTCCTGTGGTACCTCCGAATGAGCTCCCATTCCGCGTTACTGAATCCTCCTCCGTTCCGATTCCCATTCACATTCGTGCTACTACCGTTCATTTTCGCTACTGATTCTCTTTCTCCACAAAACAAAATCGAACTCCACCACTAAATCAACCAAGTTCTCTCCACCCTCCTCGTTAGTTAGAAAAACCAAAAAATCGTAAAATTCAACTGACTTTCTGTAAAGGTCAAATCATAACATAAACTATACTATCCAACTCCCCGCTCAGTCACCGGAAACCAGAAGATCCAATCGCCGGCATATGAGTCTCAGTAAAGAGAAAATCTCCGCCTGAAACGCAACAGAGATTCAGTTCAGTGGAAAAACGGCCACCGGAGAATCACCGCCATAGACGACCGATCGAACTTCACCTCAGCTTTTTTCTTGCTCCTTTCGTCTCCTCTTCTCCGCTTCATATAAATTTCTCTCTTAATTAATTATTAATTAAATTAACTATTGTTTCTCGTTTTAATACATCAATAATTTCTGGTTAATGACAACAAATTTCATATCCCAAGAATAGCCCTTATTTTTTGTGTAATTACTTCTGATGCCACTCCCTTTTTATTGACTTATCTCGTCGATATCTTCAGCAGTTTGGTAAAAATAGAAAGTTGAATTTTTTTTAACGGAAAAAAGAAAAAAAAAAAATCCAATGTTTTCCGGTCGGCGGTTATTTGTATTTGAAACCGTCACCTCACCGGCGCCGTTTAGTACAGTTGCGGCCAGCTGATATTTTCGTTGAGCTAGATATTTATCTACCTATATTTTATTTATTAAAAATCAATTTTCTTATAGCTTTTTAATTGCAATAAACACTGGGGACGCCGTTGGTGGCAGTGTTGTCACCGATGTGGCGCCGGTGCAAAGAAGAAGAATCGATGTTAATGTCGGTGTCAGACCGATTGGGGAAAGAGAAGTGATATACACCAAAGAACATAAATAAATGAACCAAGGATAAGAGATGGCTCAAAAATGTTACGGATTTTGACCTTGTTTAGAATTTGAATGAAAAGTGAAAAGTGAATGAATATCTCCTCTATTTTTTAGCTTCAACCAATCGCGGGTTTCACGTTCACGACTCGCGGAGATCATTAAACTTATGGTAGTCCTCTTGGACATTCATTCGAGTTTTTATCTAGTGTTTGAACGAGCCTTGATTTTTATGTATGCTTGGGAGTCAAATAGTCAAAAAAGTTTGAAGTCACCATTCAAACGAACGAGCAAACATCAGATCTAATCTCAATCCTTTCCTCTATCAATATCACCACTTTTTTTCCTGTCCTCACTTGGTTGCCTATTCAAAATGCACATCATTTCTCATAGAATATGCTTGAACCAATAACATGCATCTTTAATGCTAGGTTTGTATTGAATTGCCACCTCAGGAATGGAATTAGGATCATAAAGATTCTAAATAATGATCCAATTAACTTAAAAAAAAAAAAAATTAATGGAACTCTAATAACATAGATACATACTTTAACCATTTAAACTTTTAACTATTTATATGTTCTCAATTGATTTAGGCTCAAATTAAGATTCACCCCTTAATCTTGAAATAATACGTAATACATATATAACATATATAATAAATACTCGAGGTTAACAACGAAGATCTAATAGTCATAAAAATCAAATGAAAAGCTTTTAATAATCAAGAACCTCGTAATCTTTTGAAATATTAGAACAAAAGGGTTTCTAAATCAATGTCAAAACCTTAAATCATGTCCATGAGTATCTAAGTTGATGAAAAAAAACATCCAAAATCAATAAATTCCCTTTAAACTTTGAAGTGGGTCGACAACCAATGAAAATGGGACAAAATTATCAAAGTGGCTTTGAGAGAATGAATATAAAATTCATAAGGACAGCTGAAAGAAGACAATAAAAAACTACTCACTTTGTTTCTTTATGCAGAGGAGAGGGGTGGCCATATGAATGCTACCAATGAACTGCAGGAATGGTTCCCCAGACAGAAAGGGAGGTTGCCTATATCCTCTCACTCTTCTTCACCAACCAAAAGCATCAGATGAAGCATTTTTCACCAAGAAAAATAAACAAAAAGCAAACCCTTACATTATTGTACTTCAAATTCCTCATGCCAGACACCTGTCAATCTCCAATTTCCAGAGGGGTTAGTGCAGCAACTCCCACTGTGACAAGTATCAAAAAAAGTAATATGCAATATATATATATATAAAGAGAGAGAGAGAGAGAGAGAGAGAGAGAGAGAGAGAGAGAGAGAGAGAGAACATAAAAAACTGAAGAGGAACAACGTTCTCAAAGATATAAATGCAAATGATCAAAAAAAGTAATATGCAATATATATATATATATATATATATATATATAGAGAGAGAGAGAGAGAGAGAACATAAAAAACTGAAGAGGAACAACATTCTCAAAGATATAAATGCAAATGATCAGGCTTTGTTCTGTTCTAAGACGCTCACAAAATTACAACAGCTGATTTGAACAGTGTTTATGAACAAAAATGAAGAAGAAAAGCATCCTAAATGAATAATTGCATATCATATGGTGCAAGAAAGAGCTCCCACAGAACCACCACATAAAACAACAAATGCATAAAGATCTGAGCTGAATATCATATAGAATTAAGTGACAGATGGAAATAAGCCACTATAGAAAAAAGAAAAGAAAATGGTATGCTCACAGTGGCCAATAATTGGTATTACAAGCTAAGAGAGTGCTGATTCGCTCAAAAGAAATCTGTAACACTGAATTTAAATTGGCCATTTGTCTCTACAATCCTATAGAAAATGTCGAGACAAAAAATATCAATGCATACTATGATTCTCATGCCTGTGACTAATTGGACAATCACTAGAACGCACAAAGACGAGTATCAATTCTCCAATTCACAGCACCAATCAGCTATAAACTAGTGATATCAGTACCAATTATTATAAGCTCTGCAAATCTTCATCCATGTGATTACTGGTGTAAAGTGCCCAACAAAGACTAGTTACGTGTCATAATTTGCAAAACAAAAAGGAAGATTTTGGTATTTAACTAATATAAAGAAAGATTGGCAGTACAACACATGCAGTCACAAAGATTAAGATATTTTGCCACAGAACCATTATGAAATTCCTCCACTTCTTTAAGTTGAAGATAGTTTATTCTGAAGGTTGCCTGTTGGCTATCCTTAAAGATGTTCTTTCTTCCCCTCCGTACGTACACCAAGAAGCCAATTGAGTTGAAAAAAATACCTGCAAGACACATAAATTTTCCACCCACGTCTAGATGTACACACACAGGATGCATGTGTGTGTGTATATTGTATGTATCACATGTATGAATGGTGTATATTCATGGTCATACCATGCATGTACAATTATGCATCAATAAATTTGCATATAAAATGACTTTTACATGCATAAGAAACCATTATGTATATATTGCATATGACAATCTTTCTAGCAGCAATACCGTCATGATCTTGAAGGTATGATAGTTAACATATGGCGGAGTCAATAAGAAAGTTCTCTGAACTTTTCATACATACATATATATATATATATAGGTTCAAAGCTAATCCTGTGCTTTTACTTCTAAATCACCCATTTTCTATAAGTTCCAGCGAGGAAAAAGGGAAAGGAAATTAACTAACAAAAACCGAAATAGACTGCCAGAGCTCTCATCCTTCATGTTGATTGTTGACCTAAAAGAGACTTCAATAAGGAAGAGAGAACGAACACATTTCGAAGGATCCTTACAAGAGAGAGGAATATGAGCCATAAGTATAAACGCGGTCCTTAAATGAAGCCTTTAAGAACAGGGTCTGAGTTAATTAAGTGCTAAGGAGCCACAAATAACCAGACCCTAAAAAATTTCAGGTAAGTAGAGAAAAGTTGGATCTCATTTTTGTCCCAATTGTGATGGTCATCATCGATGAATTTCTCGATAACTTGAGAGATTTAACTGTCTCAAGTACATAGCCACAAAACCAATAAACAATCGGAGCAACTATGGATCCAGTCCAAACAAAATCAAGAAATTCTCTACAATTTTGGTCAGACGGAATTCAAAAAATGCACCTATTGGGTATACCTCGATCAATCTCCACATTTAGTTGATTTACTTTTGTTGGCATCATCTGCCTATCAGCTTCCTGAGCTACCCTGGAAGACAACAACGCCAGGCATCTTAGTTTGTTCATCTTCCTGAGTTTCTAAATCTACCTTCCTAGCTTCCAAAGTGTCTTCCACCTCATTAACTACAGTTTCCTGGCTAATATGAGATATCTCTTCTTCAGTTTTTACCTCAGTGTCCTCTGTTGTTGCCTGATGAGATTCTGTATCAATCTGGAGGAGCTCCAAAGGAGTTGCTGCTGGATCCAATTCCCTATAACCCTTCAGAGCATTCGGAGATTCTTCTCCCGTAAGCAAGTAATTGGGGACCTGGTGGGAGAAGCGGAACATCTCTTCTCTAGGGATCTTCCTCACTTCTTTCAGATCCATGTGTCTACGAAACACAGTCCTGAAACCAACAACCTTAACAAGAGGAGCAACAGACACGCCTTGTTCTTCATTAAAATCATCAAGCACTTCTACCATATCGTATTGGTGAATTGTTTCTTCTGAAGTATCTTTATTCCAATCTGCAGACCAGTCTCTGTAAAGAGCCCAGACTTCACCCTTCTGAGGAAATATCCGAATCACCCCTCGTAAACCTTTCATCCAGCAAACTTTATGTGAGAAGGAGTTCAATGATCTTGTGCACTCATGTCTCCCAATTCTGAAATCTCCACAGGTTTTTGTGAACCCCGAACCTACCCAGTCCATAGGGCCAATCTCAGCGTTGCTTCTTGAGTTGAGCCAACTGATGCGCATTCTGAATGGTTTTCGGGAAATCACCTTGTGAATTCGAGCATAGAAACGAGGCATTCCATCATCATCATCATAACAAGCCCAGACTTGATCATCCCCAAATGAGCTTTCAGCTCGGTCCAAGTCAAAATTATGAAAATCAGAATCTGGAACAATAATTGAGATAGGATTTTTCTCACTACCTGTACTTTTACCAGCTAAAGAGCCTGACTGAGGCTTCCTCTCATGCCATCCTTTTCTACTTGCAGAAAATTTACCATTAACTTTTATATCAGGAGTTTCATCATTCACCACATTCTTTTGCTTCTTGGACTGTTTATTCAAAGTTGATTTTTCAGCTAATGAGCTCCATTCTTTAAGTTTCTTACTAATTTCAGCTCGAGCCTTGTCCATTTGCATATTCCGAGTTTCAAAGATTGACAACTCTCTGTGGCTATTTGTCCTGTTAAATGAACCATAAAGACCATAAAACTTTTGAGTATCAGGATAATTCTTATTTAATTCAGGTAAACGAACACCAGCTGATCCATCTCCTCTGTCTATTTGGTTTGCCATGTGGACCCCATAGCTGTTAATTCCATCAGTTTTTTTCTTTTTTGAATAAGGAAAGTGACTCCTCTCCACTTCAGTTGAGGGCTGTATCTCATCGCGATCTCTTTTCCCTTTCTCAATTGCTTGTTGAACCAAATTTGCAGATTGAGCGGAAGCTGAAGAAAAAGTACTACCAACACCAGCTGTCCGGGAGGAAGGGCCCCACTGAAAGTTCGCATTATCAACTGAATTAAGGCCCACAGAATGCACAGTGTCAGGATTTTTAGGATTTCTACCAGTACCATGGACGTTGCCACTAACAGGATGCTGTCTAGAATTTTGAAGTTGCTGCTGAGAAGACCAACTAGGAGACTTGAATACATTTGGGGGTGGAGCCTTCTCTACAGCCAAAAAAGCTTCATGACAATTAGGGCAAAGGAGGGTGTGATTTAGATAGATCCCAAGGTACTCGTAATGAGTCTTGCATCGATTGCAAAGAGTCCAAAAAGTATCTGGTTTCTTATGGGAAGGCTGAAATGAGGTAGCCCCTACCTGGACTTTGCTTTGAACGTTCCTTGCATTTGAAGCAACATTATGAAAATTTTGAAAGCCATTTGCACTTGGCGGCACAGAAGTATTTTGAGTGTGGGTAGAAGTTTTCTGTCGACTACCTTTCGAATCCCTCTTCTGATTATAAGCCAATCTCTTTGTCTTGTCAGATAACAAACTCCAGGCCTCTGAAACCAATTTAAACGCACCCTCTGCACCAAGTGACTTGTTTTTATCAGGATGGAGGACAAGAGCCAATTTTCTATATTGTTTCCTAATAGTCTCATCGTCAGTCAAGTGGTTCACACCAAGTATTCCATACCAATCCGTTTCCCCATTTATCTTATTCTCTGCAGAGATATACACTTCGAGAGTTGTCATCAGTTGAGAGAGACCATCAAGCCCCGGGTACAAATTTTGAGCCTTCAAAACAAACTTCTTTGCAGCGGAATAATTCCTCTCGGTAAATTTTCTCTCAGCAATTTCTTTCGCTCTAACTGCCTCATCTTTGTTGCACTCCATAATAACCTAAAAATCTGAATATTAAGAACCACGCCTATTTATAAAACTTCAGTTCAACCAATAATATCAGGTTCTACAGCTCAAGAAACTTCTGCTCTAAATCAGCAGTACTTTAGATGTTAAAGTACCTGATACAAAATCAAATAATAAGTTATACGGACATCTGCAAGTGTAAGCAGTACATTGGATCTTTTATGGAGAGTTGGGTTGAGGAAAGGGAATTGCCTAAGAAACTTAGAGATAGATTGATTACATTCATGCATTAATATGTATATCAATATTAATCATAAAGCACAAACTGAACAAAATCCAACTCAGATTTAATTCAAAGTCTATAATACATCTTCTTATTCATCATAAACGGCCTTAATTTCTTTACTCCCCAATGCATATAGTAGGCACGGACATCATCTTATTACGAAAAAAGATAATTCGCTCATTCAACTCAATACGACGTATTTCTAGAGCTAACAAATAGACTGTGCAGCATGTTTTGTTCAGTGTCCCTTTAGCCTGAAATGTTAGAACAGATTATTTATGTGTTTTTAATAATAATATTTTTTTCCGTGCACAGCTGAAAACTCAAATGAGCAAATAATTTGCAGGCGGAGTCTTAGAACGAAAGAATCAATCAATCGGAAATGTGGTCAAATAGGAACCTAGGGATATTTAAAGACGCTGTAGAAACTGGGAAGAGACATACAACGTGGCAGAACTCTTAGCTTCTATTTCAGGCAACCTATCCAAATCTTCTTTCAACAATTTCAATTGGCGCAATTTTTCGCAAGTCCTTGGGATGTTTGGAGCATTTCCTTTATGTCATATAATCAATTTCTTAATCTTTAACCTCAAAACTTCCAAGGTCGAAAGAAGAGGAAGTTGCAACCCGTAACACATTGTTTGTATTGGCTTATCAGACTGTCAATTACAATTTACATACACGCACCCAAAATCAGAGCCTGTACGCATACGGATAAACTTATAAAAATATTCATATAAGTTCATTTTCCTTTCAGGGTCTTATTATTCTCATACGCCAAAGAACTCCGCAGAGAAATGACCGATCGAGCCACCGCATATTGTATCGATAGTTCTAGACGCTGAATTAACGATATATTTTACAAATTTAAACCCACATTCTCCTAAAAACCCCATCGCAAATTCAGCTACGAAATTATAACGATTCCCAACTGAAAGCCAGTGAACAGTAACCGACAGTTAAGAAAAACAACGAATCGGAACAACTCGCAACTAATGAATGATCCAAGAACAAGGGATTAGAGCTCAAGGTTAACGGTCAAATTTTGGTAAGAGCATTTGAATTGAAGCAATCCAGTAGTGAAAAAGAAACCCTAGAACAACCGAAACTTAGGGGAAACAGATTTAAACAGAAAGGAAGTTGAATCGGAATCATAAAAATTAGACTATGGTAGAAAGAATTACCTAATACGAAAAAAAATAGGAGGGTTCCGAGTTTGAAGTGATTTGAATCTGAGAAGACCATCGCCATGTACAGTGACCCATTTGTCAAAACCCCCTGAGAGCCTGAGAGATTTTCCAAATGCCCCAAAAAAAAAAAAAAAACTGAATTTTTGGGGGAGACAAAAAATTAAGAATTATGGCTTTGGTTAATATTTAACTTTTTCTCTCTCCTCTTTTTTTTTTATTATTTTTTTTATGGGAGAACAAAAAAAAAAAAAAACTGAATTTTTGGGGGAGACAAAAAATTAAGAATTATGGCTTTGGTTAATATTTAACTTTTTCTCTCTCCTCTTTTTTTTTTATTATTTTTTTTATGGGAGAACAAAAAAAAAAAAAAAAATACTTAACTAGAGTTAAATTTTAACTCTAGTATAAGGTTTGTAATATGCTAAATATAGTTAATTATTTATGATGTATTTTTCTTCCAAATAAAATTTGGGAGGAGGAAAAAAGGTAAGAGAACATTTATTAATCAAATTTGAATGTACAAATTTATTTATTTTTATATTTGTTACTGATAATTATTATGCCAAATGTTTTAAGTTTAATACTTTCCTTTTGTTTCTTATATATTTATTTTATTATTTTCCTTTTTAATTTTTAAGTTTAAAATATGAATTTCATTAATATTTATAATATAAAGAAAATTTTTCATTTCATGTTTTGAGAGATGAAGTTTTACCATTTAGATTTTTTAAAATTATATTAAAATTTAGGAATTTTTTTTTATCTAATGTTTTTTAGACAAATTTTAGAATTCTACTGACAAGTTTAGAGGATGATGTTGAAATGGTTGAAGTCATTTTTGTACTATTTTAATCATTAAAAAAAAACGTGTAGATTAAATTGATTTTTTAATAATTAATAGTAGGTTTTATAAATAATTATATACCAGACAAAAATAACCGACTTCAAAATACGCTTTGAAATAAAGTAACTAATGAGTAGGTTGCTAAGCTTGAGTATGAATCTTCAACTCACCTAATGGATTGAACTGAAAATGAATCTATTTTATTGAAGATTAAAAAAGTGAAAAGATGATTTCAACCCGACTTTCAAGAACAGCTCATAGCACAATAATAACTAAGCAAAGAGAATTTTTTTTAATTGGTTTTCACTACATTTAAGGCACACGTTTGTATCAATAAGAAAAGTACCCAAAAAAAAAAAAAAAAGTTTGAATCAACCACATTTATGGTTGAATTTGGCGCATTAAACGAAGCACGTGATTGTTTGGTTGTGAGACATTAATCTTTATAAATTTCAAACCAAATTTAGAAAGGTAAAAGGAAAGGAAATGACTAAACACGATGGTTCATTTTCAACGGGAAACTTATCTCAACAACTAAATTAAACTATAAAATGATCCAATTCTAGAACTACAAAAGCTTCAAATTCATTCTATTATAGAGCAATGACTAACATAATTGGGACTTTCAGAATCCCACAGATATCTTCTGAGTCACTAAAAATAAACCGAAGCTCCTACTAAGCCGTGTATAAAGATTGTTCAAACAACTATGTAAGTTTTGTCAACCTGAACATAGTTCAACTTGTTTAAATATATAGCTTCGATCAAGAGATCAAAGATCGACTCTTTCCGTCATTTCAAATGCAATAAATAAATATAAGCTTTTATTTGAAAGCTGTAATATCCTTTTAAAAAATGGAGCTGATGAGAGTGAATAATTGGTTACATGGTGTACATGTTTGCTTTCCAAGCAGCTTCCTCGGGCAACTTGATTTTGGCTGTCACAGCACAGTCCTTGGGTTAGTTCACAGCAGCCAAATAATACTTCACATATATGCTTGTTTTTACATAGTGACCCACGAGAAAACATGGAGAGAAAAGATGAAGTGCTTTCACGTGGATATACAGTGTACTAGACATACAAAATGCAAAATGTATAACAATTACCATACATGTTGTGGATGTCTGTCTAATGCATACATCTACTTGGCTCACAGATGAGAGACGACCAGAGTGGTGAAGTGAAAAAACTAGTGAATAGTCGATACCTGACTCCCGAGTATATATAGCCTGTAAGATTAACAAATTTATAATATATGATAAATAGGCCAACATATCATATATAGGCTTACCTCTCCATCGTACGCCGAACAAAACCACCCTGTAACCCGAACACCCTCTTAATGTACATCTAATTAATTCAACATGTTGTGAAGAAATGTAAGTTGCACAAGATCCCACGGTCATGAATCACATAGGCAGCTCAATGTGCAGTAGGCAACAAGTATTACAATTATCAATTTGCAGTCGACAACTAAAGTCACAAATACAACGCTGTATAGCACTAACAGCCAATGAAGCCATTCACAAAAATAATGTAGTATCATACCTTTTTTTCCAATGTAATTCTGTTGAGCATAGAAGACAAAGTAGAAGAAGACAGATTGAGATAGATAAAAATCTAAGGCATGTCACTTTACGTGGAAGGTTTGAAGTGATTGCCGTAGCTGAAGGCCCTTGTCTGTAAGGTAGAGGTAAGGAACTACTGAAGGTGAGAGCCGATTGAGATCCCCCACTTCGAACTTTTGTGCAATGCACTTTCTTTTTGCCATATATTGATCCCATACATATCACCAAGGTAAGCAGCTAAGCAATTTTTTGAAGAATGGAGGCTTATTGCCAACTGCTATGACAAGGGGGTGATGACTGTCACAGACACATATAAAAGGACCATTTTTGTTTCCTTTTTTGATTCCCCAAAACCAGGCCAAGAAACTTTTAGTTCTCTTAGTTGATGTATCCAGATGCCTTATCCAATATTCAATAAAATGACAAAGCTTGTAGGTTAAAATTACAACTACGACATCAAGTAGTGAAAAACATGGTGACCAGAAATGCAGAATAATGCTAAGAGACGAAGCAAATCATGGAGGAGTTTCCATTTCAGAATAAACAAACAAGAGAACCAAAAGTCTTGTGTAATTACATCCAGGTTGGGAATGACCTTTGTAAAATCCCACATTGATTGGGGAGGAGAACGAAACATTCTTTATAAGGGTGTGAAAACCTCTTCCTAGTAGGTGCGTTTTAAAAACCTTGAGGGAAAGCACAAAGAGAACAATATCTGGTAGTGGCGGGCTTGGGCCTTCACAAATGATATCAGAGCTAGACATCAAGCGATGTGCCAGCGAGGAGGCTGAACCAGTGATGTGCCTGCAAGGACGTTAGGTCCTGAAGAGGGTGAATTGGGGGTCTCACATCAATTGGAGAAGGGAACGAGTGTCAATAAAGACGTTAGGCCCCGAAAGACGGTGGATTGTGAGATCCACATCGGTTGGGAGAGAACGGAACATTCTTTATAAAGGGTGTAGAAAACTCTCCCTAGTAGACATGTTTTAAAAACCTTTAGGGAAGCCCAAAAGAGAAAGTCCAAAGAGGACCATGATTCAATAGAAAAACTTCAAGTTATTTTCAGTTGATTTATCGTCGTAATAGCCCAAAGAATCTTCATTTGTTCTTAAAAGTAACCTTTCCAGTCCAAAGAGAATGAGCAGTTTATTTCAAATCCAAACAAAAGTTCATGTTTCTAATAGGCAGACAAGATGAGTTGAAATCACAAAGAAAATGGATGTCCAAGTTAAATCAACAAAAGAAATGTTCAAGGAAGACTATTGCCACGAATTATTTTGTCTAGTGGGGAAAACTACAGCACAGAGCAAATGTAAGACGCTCCACTCCACTCTTCCAGTCACAACTTACCATTTTCCTGCAATCCTTCTACAATGGCCTGACATAGGAAAAACATACCTTGATATGGAAGAAAACTTGTTCATAATCTAAACATTCTAACTGCAAATATAAATAATTGAACTACAGCGGTATATTGTCTTCGAAGCCCTAATTAAATCAGAAGGAAGATAACCAATTAGAACAACGCACCGATCAAAGCTATGAAATGTCCGAAATCGCCAATTTTTTCTTCAAAACGAGTGAAAGTTGATTAACGATATAGGAGAAAACTCGCATAAATTTTAACACTCACCACAAGAACATCCAATCCAATCCAATCCAATCCAATTTACCTTCTCGTTCCACTCAAAGCACCTCCAGAAACGGCTGAATTCATTGAAATTATGGAAGAGATGAAGAATATTTTCGATTGTTAGGCAATAAACCAACAAAATACCATAGCGCTAGAAGGGATTGGATAAACATGCGCCCAATGGAGGTTGCTCGTGTATAGACTAATGGCGTGAGACTCGCTTTCTGATTACTCGAAAGCATTTCATTGGCTAACTTTATATAAATTATTTAATTAGTTAATTTTAGGTAATTAACTGAAAAAAATTTATATATGTTTTTTTTTAATTAGCCCTTAATCATTAAAATAAATTCAATTATATCTTATATGATAAATAAGAGTGTTGACATAACTCGATCATACGACCAACTTGGGCTATCCAACCAAAACCATTTTTTTTATTAAATTATGTTAAAATTTTAAATTAAGGTTGGTTCACGAATTTACATTTTTCTCTCGAGTCAATTCGACTAACCCAAAATTAGGGTTACAATCCAACCCACTTAATTATTACAAAAATTAATAATAACTGACGTTTATAATCGATGTTAGTAATACATCTGACTTATGAATAATTTACATTTATTTTTAATGAAAATTTAATTATTGACATAATATGTATTTTTTGCAATAATTAAAAGAAAAAAACAACTCGACAATTTAACCCAACCCAATTCAAAAATATATAGTTAAGTTGGGTTAGATTTAAACTTTATTTAAGTTGCTCGTCATCAATTCAACCAACTCGAAGTTTCAAATTAGTGTTAAAAGATTAATTTGTGGACTGTGTAGCACTACCTACTTCTTATTAATTAATTAACCAACATAATTATTTTATTAATATATTTAAATACATGTGCCTTGATATAAATATTAACCAAATTGTTGTGACACATAAAACTAAATTTATTTATCAATAAAATATAATCGGACAATTTAATAAATTAATTTTTTTTAAAGTGTACAAATATGTCAATAAATACAATAATTAAAATGACGTATCAATTATTTATTAACAATATTAGACTTTTTTTTTTTTAACTAAAGGATATAATTAATCATTTTGAACAAATTAAATTAACTCTATAATTTAGAAAGATTTAAGGACCTAGTAATTAAAAAAATGTTATGATATATATTTTAGTAATGTTAAAATTTGTTAATAAATAAACTCCACAAAATCTTTAAAAATTTAAAGGGAATTTTATTTAAAAAAAATTAAAAAAAAACGTATTTTCAATTTATTATTATATAATTTTTTAATTTCTTAGACTTCAGTCGATTCTAAATATTATGGCTAGTTGATATACACAACTTGAACTAGGTAGAGTTCGGAGAATCTTTCCTTACTAACTTGAGTTCATAAAACTTAACGCGCTAGATAATCGAGTTATGAGATTGTTTTTTTTAATTATTTAAAAAATTATATTTATCCATGTTATATTAATAATTAATTTTTCATAAAACTTAAATATCAGATAATGTATTATCAACCTTAGCGGCAAACATCATATATTATTAATCTTCATACTAGTTGGGTTAATCAAACTAAAAAAATATTAATCAGCAGATTATCGACAAAAAAAACAATTTAATTTTAAATAATTAAACTAAATCCAAATAAAAAAATAAAAATTTAACTGGATAATTCGAATTGGATGATTTATTTTCAATTCATATAACTCCAAACTGTATTAAAATAGAACGAACTAAATAACTAAAACTATCCAAACATTATTGGAATGAATATTTACCAAAATGAAAAAATAATAAGAAATAAATAAAATGAAAAAAAAAAAAAAAAGACTAGAAGTCAACGAGGGAGAAACGGTCAGAATTCAGATATTTTTCTTTGACTTTTTGATCCCCTGCAACCCATTACTCACGGGTTCAACTAGCCTAAATTTCCTCCATCAATAACCAATCCCTGCATCACACGTGGCGTTAATTATCCACATATTTTTTCCGCATTAATATCTCATTAAATTGCCCGACTAATAATAAAAATAAATAAATTGAAGATTTCCAAATTTCTGGTAACTTTTTAAATATTTAATTTAATCTTACAACTTAAAAAATGAAATAATTTTTTTTTTTATCTCTTTGAAATGTTTTTTTGTCGTTTAGCTTAAATAATTAAATATTTTCTCAAATTTTACTCTCTCTAAATTCTTTCTATCTAATTTTTCCACTTATGAAAATTATTTCTAACTGTCTCTCTCAAATAAATATAATAATTTTTCTCTTTAAAGAAATTATTTCCATTTTTTCTTTTTTATCTATTTTTTTATAACGTAAAAAATATTCCTTTTGTTTTAATCTCTCTATATTTTATATTTTTCTCTTTCTAACACATTTTTATGACGTCAAAAGAAATTATCTTATGTCATGTTTTTTTTTTTAAATTTACTATATTTAATTTTTCTCTCTTAAACAATAATATTTAAAAAATCAATTTCCTCAAATATTTTTTTTTGTAGGGAATCAAATGTAAAAATACACATAGAAAATTTGTCGTAAAAAGACTAAAAATAAAAAATAAAAAATAAAACCGTTTTCGAAATTTTTAAAAAATATAAATTATTTTAAAAATTCAGTTTTATTATTTATTTATTTATTGAGTCTTTGTCGTTGTCGCCGTCAGTGTTGGACACCAAGTGCACGGCTTTGGACTCATCTCCGATCTCTCTCTTCATGTGAAAAAAATTAAAATTAAAATTACCAAAAAAAAATTGTTATCTTTAGTGAATTATTTATTGATGTGAACGGAAATTGAAAAAACAAAGATGGAGAAGTCTCGAGGAAGTTTCGTAGTATAAAGTGGAAGAAGTCGCATTTCTCTCGCTGGATTCAATCAATTTCTTTCTGCCAAAAGCTTTTTTGTTCATTTGATTTAATATCCAACAATCTATCGCTCCACGTTCTTCGTGTTCTTCCTTGAGACCTTTTCTTATTTCGGTATGTTTTTCTTCTCCTTTTCTCTCGAATTCCAGTGGTTTGTTTTCAGTTACTTTTGATTTTACTGTTTTTGTTTGTGGGTTTCTTCGCTTTATTTTAGGTTTTTTGAGTTTTGGATTACTGAATTTGCTTTTTTATTTCAGTTCTCTTGTTTGTTCCTCTCTGAACTTGCTTTGAGAAGTGATTCGATTGTGTTTTTCTTCCATTTCAAGTAGGTTTTCAGGGTTGTATTTGGGTAGATTGAATAATCGGTTGAGAGTTTTTGGATGTTTGTGGGTTTTTCACTGTGTTTGGACATTTGGATGAATGGGTATCTTGTTTGATTCTTTGAAACCCCGTGTGATTGTTGATCGGTTTGATGTCTCATTGAGCAATTTAGATTTTGTTGTTGTTACCCTTTGGAATCTGTGGGCGACCATGCCATTTTTTGGGGTTTTTGGGAGGTTATGTTGAATTTTACCATACTTTGGATTCTCTTACTTGAAGTTCTCTAACTTTTTCCCCCTTTTTTTCAGGAGTTCCCTCTAGAAATTCGTGTCAACTAAAGAAGTATTTGGACTTTATGCGTTTGCTAAGTTGATTTTCCATTATGACTTATCTGCAGGAGAAGATTGTGCGGTTAGTTTGATTCTTTTTTTTTCGAGTTACAAAGTGATGATGGTAATGGGGATTGTTTTGTTGGATATCTCTTTGGTCGAATGAACTCTTCAGTTCTTAGATAGGTGCTGTGAGACCCTACCTATCAGTTGGGGAGGAGAATGAAACATTCTTTATAAGGGTGTGGAACCTCTCCCTAGCACACGCGTTTTAGAAACCTTGAGGGGAAGCTTGAAAGGGAAAGCCCAAAGAGGACAATATCTGCTAGTGGTGGGTTTGAGGTGTTACAAATGGTATCAGAGCCAGACACTAGGCGGTGTACTAGCGAGGACGTTAGGCCCCTAAGAGGGGTGGATTGTGAGATCCCACATCGGTTGGAGAGGAGAACAAAGCATCCCTTATAAGGATGTGGAAAACTCTCCCTACTAGACGTGTTGGTCAAAGCGGGCAATATCAGCCAGCAGTAGGCTTGGACTGTTACGGATATTCTATAGATTCAATACTTTCAAATGTGATGATTGGGTGAGGATTAGTGAATTTTGATGTATAGGCCTTTCTCTCAAACTAAAGTACTCTACTGTTATCTTAGATGTATTCTCTGTTTTTTTAATTAAATTGAAGGATAGGTTTATAAAACAATGGCTTCTGACAATGCCCTTTTGAATTCGGGCCTTCTAGTATAGTATTACTCATTCATGTTTGGTCATAACTTTTATGCTTTTTCGTCCAGGTTTCCGGACCGGAGTTCAGATAAAACTTCAATGGGGTTATATTCTGCGGATAACACTTTAAATGTCGGAATAAATGGGACAAGAGCTGACTTAGTTTCAGAAAAGCCTCACAAAGAATTGGAAACTGGTTCTTACAGGATTAATAGAATTAAGAAAACCTTGAAATCATCTTCTTTCAATAAATTTATGTCCAAAAATTTTGGAACACGAAGACAAGTACTTGATCCACAGGGGCCCTTTCTCCAGAAGTGGAATAAGATATTTGTGTTGTCTTGTGTGATTGCAGTCTCGTTGGATCCTTTGTTCTTTTATGTCCCTGTGATGGACGATGATCAGAAATGTCTTGGGTTGGATAAGAAGATGGAGATTACGGCTAGTGTCTTACGTTCATTCACCGACATATTTTATATATTGCATATTGTTTTGCAATTTCGTACGGGATTTATTGCTCCATCTTCTCGAGTATTTGGAAGAGGTGTTCTAGTTGAAGATGCTTGGGCAATAGCAAAGAGATATCTGTCGTCATACTTTTTGATCGACATTCTTGCAGTCCTCCCACTTCCACAAGTATGCCATTTTTCTCTCAGGGGTATTTTTGTTGGTCATGAGCGTTGCTTTATGACCTTCTATGGGTGATCCCGTATCTTTTGTGAATTTAAGATATTCATTTGTGAACTCAACTTGCATGAAGCTGGCTTCATTTCCTCCCCCCTCCCCTTAATATTGTTGCAACAAAGGGGCTAGGGCTCTCCACATACTATTTTTGGAAACTACCGGGCCCGAACTCTACATATGAGATCCCACGTTGGTTGGAGAGGAGAACGAAACCTTTCTTATAAGGGTGTGGAAACCTTTCTCTAGTAGACGCGTTTTAAAACCATGAGACTGACGGCGATACGTAACGGGCCAAAACT